GGCCTTGCCCTCCTTCTCGGGGGCGTCCAGCGGGGCTGCCCCGTCCCCCTCGGCCGCAGCCTCAGCGCCGGGCTCCTCCCCCGGCCTGGGCGCCACGGCGTCCGGACACAGTTCTTGCCTGAGGATCCGGGCCACGTCCTCCACTGTCCTGCCCTCGCTCTGGAGGAAGAGGTTCAGCTTGGTGAGGAATTCCACGTCCTGCTTCCGTGGCATGTAGACCACGCGCCACACGCCGCCCTTGCCACGGATCTCGCGGGGGATCACGGCGTAATTGATGTCCTGGGCCAGCCGGATGATGGCGGCCTTCGTCTGGTCCTCTTCCAGCAAGGCCTTCCCGGCCACTTCGAAGTGGCCCAGGGGCTTCAGAGGGACTCGGATGATGTCCTCGAATTCCTCGTGGGTGCAGTCTTCCGGGATGCCCAGGACCATCAGGGACCTGTAGCTGTCCACCTCCAGGGCCTTGCACCCGTGCTCCAGCAGGGCAATGTCCTTCACGCCAAACAGCATCTTGCCCAGCTCGCGGAGGCAGCAGTAGGCCCGCTGCTGCTCCCCGGAGAGGCCTGGGGAATCCCAAAACGGATCCAGGATGCCACGGACTGGTTCCCAAGGCGACGGGAGAGGCGAGGCGGTACCCAGGCCCTGAGCTCACACCAGGGCCTCCGGACTGACGGTCTGACGGACCAGTCTTCCCAGCTTGCTCTTGGGAATTCGCAGGGACTTACGCGCACCGGGGAAGGCCGGGTGGGGGTGTTTGCAGCTGGCCCGTGTGGCTCCTGACCAGGGGGGGTCTGGAGGGGCTCCTGCTGCGACTGCTGGTCTCCCCGGGACTGCTCTCACGGAGGTGTCGTGGGTGGGGGGGTCCTGCAGGCCAGCGCGGCTGGTCCCTCACCGCTGGCACGCAGAGGCAGCTCTCAGTGCCCTGGGCCCCCAGCTAAGAGGAAGATGTGGCCACCGCTGCTCCGCACTTGCTCCCGCAGTGACGTCACTGCCTCCTTGGGCTCTGCGGCTGCAGTCGCCATGACAACCGCTGGAGCATCCTCTCCACCATTGGCCGCGTCCAGCCGCACTGAAATCCGAGCGCAAAAGGCCTCTTCTCAAAGGTGAAGGGTCAGCTGCCCTCCACCTGCCTCTTCCCCCAGCCACCCCGCTCCCTCCCATCGGAAGTTTTTTTTTTTTAATCATTTCATTGGGGGCTTACAATTCATTTCACAATCCATCCATCCATCCATTGTG